TAGGCAGACTGTATGCTGAAAATGTTTCTCTGTCTTGCACGGAGCCCTTCCTTTATGTGTCTTTAAATATACTTATTCCTAGGAATTCATCTTTAATCCTTTTCCTCTGCTTTCTCCATTTCTACCAACCTCATCCATTCTAAAACAAAAGTTGTCATTTTTGCCTTCAGTCTTCAAATGTCTCTTCCCCCAATGTTAATTTCTCTCTCCTTGACTGTCAAATCCCATCTTCTTCAGGGGACATCAGTAAAATGTTCTGAAGTTAAGAACTAAAATGTGGCACATCCAAATATGGCAAACTGTTACACCTTGCAAACAAAATTGGACCTTGCTTTTAAGTTCTTCTACCTGCCTTTTGTAATGTCACCTACTCAAACCTTCAATAAGCAATCAAGGGGCTGGATTGCACAACAGGTAGGTTATATGCCTTGCACATAGCCGACTTGGGTTTGATTTCCCAGCATATCATTTGGTCCTCCAAGCCCACCAGGAATAACTCCTTAGTGCAGAGCCAGGAGTAACTCCTGAGTTCTGCTGGATGTGACCCAAAGTGGGGGAGGGGCGGGGGAAAGCAAGTAGCCATGAGTGTTTCTGACTCTACATCTCTATTATACCTTAGTCCACACACACACACACACACACACACACACACACACACACACACACCAATTTGGCCTTACTCTTTCCTCTTCCAAATCTCAAATACTTCCTTTTTGTCATTCTCCTGCACCCACCCCAACTCAAATAATCATTTTCACCACTTGAACTAATACAGTCTTCTCCTTGCTTGTCTTTCTATCTTTGTCCATTCAGTCATGCAACAAACACTCCTTTGCAGCTAGCCCTGTCAAATTCTTGTTTTTGTGCCTCTTTGTCCCCATCAGTAAGAACTGTTGCTCCCAGTTATATTTGTCAAGTTCAACTCTGACTCTGTTACTATTCTTGCTTTCAGATTTTGGACTAGGATCAAGTATAGGCCCGATAACACCATCCTTCACAGGTTGGCCTCCTCTTCCTACTCATCCCCATGTCTAGGTACCAGTCCCCTGTTGTCCCCAAACTCTCCCCATCTCCACTCCTGGCTCCCAGATACACCCACTTTCCTGGTGCTCTCCTGCCCCTCCAGAAAACTGAAGTGCCTGCACTCTGCTGGGAAAGCTGTCTCTGCCATTGCTCATAGGAGGAACATTGCTTTCTTTATCATGAGAATTCTCAGTTATAGTAATTGCCTTATTCCAGAAAAAGAAAACCCACCGGTGATTCCAAGGCATTTACTGTACCTGCTTTCTTTCAAACCAACCCTTTTTTCATATACCAGGAAAGGCCCTAGAGGTCAGGCTGAGCTACCAATGGGTTCATCTAACTCCTACAGGGATGAGCTGAGAGATTCAGTCACTGCTGAGACCTCCTTAACCTGACCAAGAAAACTGGAAATTCCCAGCAAGGAATGGGAACCTACAGATCTGTCATTCATTCAACAGTTTTTTGTTTGTTTGTTTGTTTGTTTGTTTGTTCCTGGATGATTTATCTGGAGCCTGGATGTGGGGCCGGGGAGGGGAACCAGGGCTGGCTGGGAGAGTCAGTCTCAGCTGCCACTGAAGCCCATGCCAAACCCTTAAGGGTCTGGAACTATTAAGCAGACCAACAGGGAAGCACACTGCAGCCCACACCACCTTCCTTCCTTCTGGTCTTTCTTTCCATCATTTGTGATCCAGCAGACAGCTGCTGAGCACACTCTTAGGTGCCAGGCACTTTTCTGAGACAGGACATGCAAGGGACAAGACAGACAAACGCTGATCTTCCCTGAAGCATCTATTTTAGTAGGGGGAGGGGGGAACAAGCCAAAGTGCTAGACAGGGACAAGGAATGGACATGGGGAGGGATTGTGGGGAAAGGGGGAGACACATTAAAATAAAATGACTTAGAAGCAAACAGTCATTTGGAGACGTGTGACAGAGCTAAGGGAACAGGACTTCCCTTTTCCCACCCCCAGTTAGTACATTTTCCCTCCCTGTAAGTAGTGACCTCCATTTGCAGGACGAATATGACGCGTTCTAGCTCTCAGCAGGCCAGGAGGAGGGATGGAAAAGAAAAGAGCGAAAGGACAACAACTAGTCCTCGCGGAAATGTCCCTGACGGACACCTTGGACGCCAGTAAGGGCGCAGACGCGCGGAGGGGCTTCCCGGGTCCCTAGGGGGCGTCCGCCTGGACCAGGGAAGTTGTAAGTCTCTTGGAGTCAGTCCGGGGGGCGGGCGCTGGGACCCGTCTGCAGCTGCGGCGGCGGAAACCCCGCGGACGCCACGAGGACCCGAGAGGGCGAGGGACCCCCGGACGCGCGGGCGCCCCTCGGCCGGGCCACCCCGAGTCCCCGCCGCCCGCGCCTCTGCTACCCCCGGGCCCAGAATCTGGTTTCTGCGAACGCTCGCTCCAAGGCCCGGGACGCACGGGAGGGTCGCGGGCCACAGCCCGCCGGCGCCCCGGACACAGAGCAGGGGCGCGTCGGCTCCCGCCCCCGGGAAACACTTGCCCGAGCCGTTTCCCGGCGCCCGCGTCTCCCCGCGCCGACTCCCACAACAAACCGTTTAAACATTGCAGCACAAACGCCGAGCCATTGTGCGTCGCACATTAAAAAGTGTTATTCGCTTTGAAGTTTTTGTCTAATGGCTCTAAACCGAAAGAAAATGTTTTCCTATTACTTAATTCAATCATAGCGAAGAGACTTGGTAAAAAGCCCACGGATTTTGCCCCAAAGTGTGACAGAGTTCTCTTTGTGTTTGCTTATCCTCCGCTGTCACACACTTTAATTCGCCTCTCTTTATCTGGCATTCAAAACTTTCTTCAATGACATTCAATAAGGTCCAGAGGCTGGAGGGAAGAGAAAAAAAAAACTGGTTATTTCCACCCCCACCCCACCCCCACCCCCATATTCTTTCCCAGTAGCTTTGGCCTTGCTCGCATTCAGGGGCGCTTAACTCCTTGTTGCCCGCAGGATAGCGGAGAGCTGGGTCCAGTCTCGGAATCCACAGAATCCTCACCAGATAGACGGCCGGTGCGTTTGCCCAGCCTGGCGCTGCCCGCACCCTGAGCCGGGAACCCCTGAGTCGATCTCGCCCTGCAGCCCAGTTTGCTTCCCAGAGAGCAATTAGAACCCGCAACGGGGCGCGCCTCTGATGAGCTCTAGCGGCTTTGCAAGCTTCGCGCTGGAGCCAGACAGCGGTCCCAGCGACGGGAAAATTGGGGCCCCAGGATCTCGGAACCCCTGAACTCTTACTTCTCCTGCTACAAAACATGCCGATACCGCACCCACCCCCGTTATTCCCCTCCCGTCCCTCTTCTTGCCATCCCTTTCTCTCATCGACGTTTTCCTTTTTATCATCTGTGCATTTGTTTCTGTTGCTAAGGTGCTGTCCATGATGAAAACTCTCCAATAGGCTTCGGTCCGGGCGTCCTTTCCTAGTGTAACTGATTGCTCCCTCCTCCCCCTCCATCTCTCACAATTCCATTCAGGGACCGAGCAGGTGACTGCAGTGATTCGGTTCCAACAAAAATCGAAAGTAAGCTTTCCCGTGAAAAGTCCCGGCCTGCAGATTCGAAATGTGTATGCTAATTTCCTATTGTATGGAAAAAGCTCCTGGGCGCGCAGCGGCTTTGAGCCGGGACGGTTTAAAAAGCTGAAGCTGTGTACGCTGCGCCAGGCGTTTGAAGTTGTTTAACCATTGTGTGACCAGAAAGAAGAAAGTGAAGCGGCTGGAGAAGGTCTCTGGGGGGACGGGGGCATAGGGAGGGGGGGCATGAGGTCCGAAGGGCAGCCCAAGCAGGACCACGACTGCCTTCGGATGGCTTCTGTGGATAGAACCATCTAGTGCACCCCTAGTATATTGGGGGTGCGCGGGAGTATAGAGTCCCTCCAGGACAAGGAGCATCTATACTCACTAGTCAGGCTGAGTGTGAAAGAGATCACAGTGTCCGAGGTCTCGAGTTTTCTTCCTTGTCTCTGGCTGGCTTCAACCTCTTTATCCCCACGGCCCTGTCCTCGTGAGGGATCCGGGCCGGCCAGCAGCTACCGAACAAAGGCTGGGTGTTGAAAGCAGCATCCAAGTTACCACTATTTCAGAAACTTGGAGAAGGCAGAGGAAAGGCAGTGCTGTCGTGCTGGGCAAGGAACGCAGCGTTTCCCTCCTCATCCAGGCGGCTCCCACCCCACCCCACCCTAACCTCCTGTAGGAGAACCGGGACCCGGGACTGTAGGAGAACCGGGAAGATTCCACAGGTGGAAACCCCAGGCAGGCTTTGGGGAGAGGGTGGGCACACGGAGCTAAATTCAGAAAGCTGAGTGTAGGCAAGGGTGGGGAACAAGGCACCGGTGCTCGGAGAAGATGGGGTGCGCGACCTCAAGGACCTGTGCAAGGGAGGCAGCGGTGTGTGTGTGTGTGTGTGTGTGTGTGTGTGTGTGTGTGTGTAAAATCAAGAAGATAAACGGGCCGATAGCCAATACAGAGCCCATGGGGGAGTAAGGAATAAAGAGAAAGAAAGGAATATTAAATCGCGGGAGAATGAGAAAATAAACCCGCAAAAGGGAGAGGAGGGGGCGAGCGCGCCTGTGACGGCGTGGGTGGGGTTGACAAGAATAGAGTACATTATGCAGTTCATTTAGTTAACAAGTGAAATAATGAGGAAGCGTGCAGAGTGAATGCCAAGAGAAAAGGCACAAAAACCCTATTGAGAGGCCCCGGCCGCTCCCCATCACATGGCAATAGTCCTATTTAAGCGCCGCCGCCAGAGCCTTTCAGCACCACTCGCGCTGGCCAGCACCCCGCGCTTTTGGGGCGGCGCCGGCGGCTGCGGCTTCAGCGGTTTCGGGGGCGGCTGGAGCGGCGCCTTCAGCCTTGCGGGCAGGTCCAGCTGCGCGCGGCCGCGGCTCGGGATCACGCGGGGAGCAGCCCCGGCTCGGTGGGGCGCAGGCAGCGGGCTGGCGGCTGGGCGAGCGCGCGTCGGGGCCATGCCGCGCTCCTTCCTGGTGGACTCGCTGGTGCTGCGCGAGGCGGCCGAGAAGAAGGCGCCCGAGGGGAGCCCGCCGCCGCTCTTTCCCTACGCGGTGCCGCCGCCGCACGCGCTGCACGGCCTGTCCCCGGGAGCCTGCCACGCTCGCAAGGCCGGGCTGCTGTGCGTGTGCCCGCTGTGCGTCACCGCCTCGCAGCTGCACGGGCCCCCGGGGCCGCCGGGGCTCCCTCTGCTCAAGGCGTCCTTCCCGCCCTTCGGCTCGCAGTACTGCCACGCGCCCCTGGGTCGCCAGCATTCGGCCGTGTCGCCTGGGGTCGCCCACGGTCCCGCCGCGGCCGCCGCGGCCGCCGCGCTCTACCAGACCTCCTACCCGCTGCCCGACCCCCGGCAGTTCCACTGCATCTCCGTGGGTAAGCCCGGACGCCGCTCTGAGGAAAAGCGAGGGCCATCCGGGGGAGCCCGGGCATTCTTCAGGCGAGGAGGGAGAAATCGGGGACCTAGATGGGAACGTTAGCTGGTGGGCCCGGACGGGGCGCCGCGGGGGGCCGGGTGAGGGCAAACGGTCCAGTTCCTGGAGGGGGCGCACACCCCTCAAGCGCTCACTGCTCCTCTCCTGGAGTGGGGAGCGAGGACCCGGCAGCGCTGCTCGATCGAGCTTTCCGCGACGTGGCTCAGAAGAGCAGGCGGGCGCGTTACTGTAGTAGGGCCAGCCGGTGGGAGAGAGGCCCAGGGTTCGGAATTCCGACAGCCTAGGAGCAGGGGGATCCGGCCCGCACCACACTGGAGGGGACGGGGGCGAGTGGGTTTGTTTCTGACCATTTCCGTCTCTGCACCTCCCGACCCCCTCTGCAGACAGCAGCTCGAACCAGCTGCCGAGCAGCAAGAGGATGCGCACCGCGTTCACCAGCACGCAGCTGCTGGAGCTGGAGCGCGAGTTCGCCTCGAACATGTACCTGTCCCGACTGCGCCGCATCGAGATCGCGACCTATCTGAATCTGTCGGAGAAACAGGTGAAGATCTGGTTCCAGAACCGCCGGGTGAAGCACAAAAAGGAGGGCAAAGGCAGCAACCACCGCGGCGGCAGCGGCGGCGGCGGCGGCGGCGCGGGCGGGGGCGCCCCGCAAAGCTGCAAGTGCGCGTCTCTCACCTCAGCCAAATGCTCCGAGGATGATGACGAATTGCCCATGTCTCCGTCCTCGTCGGGCAAGGACGACCGGGACCTTGCAGTCACTCCCTAGGCGCGCACCGCCGCCCCCAGGCGCTCCCTGCGCCTCCGAGACTGAAGCGGGAGCCCCAGCCTCTGGTCCAAGGCGCGCTCTGCGCGGATTTGGCTCCTCTCTGCATAGACCCTGGGCAGCGCCGGCAGCTTGACCGAGACTTGGCGCGGGTGACCCCTGCCCAGAACCAGCGGTCGTGCAAACGGACTTGGCGCTGGGGACACCGCGAGCGTACAGGGGTTCTCGGCCTTGCGGCGCAGCTAGCCCCGCGGGCAGCCAGCTGGCCCTGAGCCTTGCTGGCCACCGGCGCTTCCTAGCTTGCCCGCTCTGGACCAACTCAAGCTTTCTCACTTGCCCCCTTCTCCACACCCTTGATCCAGTTCGTCACCCCTTCGATGCCCATTTGCGTTCTCTTTTCTTAAGCTTTGCCTTCCTTACCTCTGTCCTGCTGTCGTGCGCGTGCACACACACACACACACACACCACAACACACACACACAACACACACACACATCCCCGCCCCACCCACCCATCCACCTGTGCGCTGCTCTTCTGGGGCTTTGAGGCAGTTTAGGGGCCTCCGTACTTTTAGTTTCCTTCCCTCTCTTCTGTCCAGTCCATCTGTTTATCCCTCAAATAGGTCTTGCTGTGCCCGCAGCTCTTCTCCCAGGAGAGAAATTATCCCTTGGAATCCGTGTGGGAAAATTCGATTCATTCTGTAGCCGACCTGCCTTGCATTCTCCTAAGCTTCCACTCTCCGTCTTAGGGGACCTCTGATATCCTTGCAACCACCGCCTCCCCCCACCCCCAGCTGTGTCCCAGTATGGTCTCTGTAACATCAAAAGATATTTATTTATTTATTTAATGTACAAAATTTTAAATAAACTTTTTTTTCTTAGAAATACATGTGGCTCTGGACCCAGAGTGCTCTGCTGCCTAACTCTCTCTCACTCCCACACATCCCGGAAAAATGGATGGAGCGGTCTGCCCTCAGGAGGAAAGGGTGTCAGGTTGAGAGGTCCCATTCGCAGTCCCATCTGCTGGCTTCATCCTCAAACCCGCCTTCTGAGAAGCTGGGGCGGGCTGCTTCGTGGCTAGGCCTGGGATAGAGGGCGCTCCCCAGCTGTGTCTCTGTCCCAGACCCCCCTCAGCAATCTGCACCTGTCTGAGGTGCACACCCTGCAAGGGTTGCTGTTCCCATCTGCACCCCTAAAGCCCTGAAGCCTGGGGAGCGCCAGCGCGAACTCCTTCCTTGCTTGGCTCGGCTGAAACTGCAGCGATTTATTCACGCGCCATCTACCCAGCGGAGAGGGGTGATCGCCCCTGGAGCAACCGCTTTGCTTAGAGGCCAGTGCCGTAAGCGGGGGGGGGTCCTTTCTCACAGAGCATGCGGCGGGCCCCGATTCCGAGGACCCTAGCCAATGCGGGACCAGCAGCCACGCGGGAAGCGCTCTGGGACCCAGTCGCTCACAGACCTTGTATTGCATTTCTGGTAAAGGCTCTCCAGCCCCATTGGACTGTCCATAACATTCCACCCTTTATTCGGGAAATTGTGGGGGGGGGCAGGTTCCATGACAGCAGCAGACACGGGGGTTCTGCCGGGGCAGGGAGCACCCCAGACCTAGGGCGCTCAGCAGAGGGTATTGGCTCCAGATGTCGCGCCAGGGCCACAGGATTCTAACCACCTCCCCAAGACTCGCCATTCCGTGTCCTGAAATCCCTGATACATCTTTTACCTCCAGAGTTCTCCGGCCACTCCCCCAACACACACACACACACACACACACACACACACACACACACACACCAGCTCCAAATTGCCCCCAGGGTCTCCACATACCCAGGCAGGACGAACTAACCGTGTTTCTGAATGTGGGGGAGTGTTTTTTGGTGGGAAAGGCGCACAGTTGGGATTACTAGACACATGTGGGTTTTATTTCTAAAACCTTTTCCTGCAAATCAAGAGAAATGCAGCGAAAGCAGGCATTCTCTCCAGTTGCTTCCTAAATGAATTGGGTTCCACTGGTGAGAGCAAGCAGGCACTTCTGCCCAGTCAGCAATCCAAACCCTAGTTTTAATTTTACTCTTTTGGCTACTCCTGGCTCTGTGTGCAGGGATCATTCATGGCAGTGCTTGGGGGATCCTTTGCTGCGCCCAGAGAGATGGAACTGAGGTGGGCCAGGCACAAGGCCAGGCCTTTCTCGCTGCCTCCCTTCCCTGCCCAAGAATCCTAGTTTTCTGTGGCACCAGTTCTCCTGCCTCTCAGGAGGGGACGGTGCACATCTGAACGCAGTCTGTGTTTTTTTTTTTTTAACCAAGTCCAGGATAGACGCTCGGCTGCAGGTTTCTTAGGTGCGTCCAGCAGTGTTGGGCATTGGGAACACACTGTCACGAGAGGCCTTTGGAGTGAGAAAGTGGAGTTGCTGGTGAGAAAGTGGGCTCCGATTTATGTGAGCCAGAACTGCCCTGTTTGCTCCAGGAAAGGCCAGGCCAGGCCACCCCGCAGGGATGTTTCTGTTCACTACTCCGTTCTCACCTACCCAAGAGAAATAGTTTCTGGAAGGGTTTGCCCAGCTGGGGAACAAAGAAGGAAGTCGGAGGGACATGGAGTTTGGAAGGAGATAAAGAGGTTGTACACCCCCCATCGCTCGCGCTCACACACACACACACACACACACACACACACACACACACACACACACACACACAGACCACCACCACCCCTCACACACACACCAGGCAATCTCTCGGTTTTGCCCCAAACTGCAGAGGCGCCTCGGGTTCCCAGCGGCTCGCAGAAGCTTCTGCTCCTGGCGGCCAGCGAAAATCTCGGTTCTCTTGGGAACGTCTTGCTTTCTTCTTCCAGTTTTCTCCGCCAGCCCGTCGTCCCTCCGTCCCGCTCGCTCTGCTGTCCCGCTTTCAGGTGCGAGCGAGACAACGCAGCCCTGAGGCGATGCGCGAGGCTAGGCAGCCGCTGAGCAGCTGACAGGCGCGCAGCTCTGCGGAGCACCGCCGCCTGGCTCCAGGAGCTCGCTCGCAGCGTGCAGGCGCTGCCGGTGAGACGCCGAGGCTCTGGAGTCTCTCTCTCCACGCGCTTGGATTCAAACTCTCCCCAACCAGGGTGTCTCCGACTCGGTCAAAACCGAAGCCCTCTGGCTGGGATGCCTTGATGACAGATGCTTGTCGTCTGGGATCCACACCACCTCAAACTGGTGTTTGGGGGTTGAGTAGCAAGATCATTCTGAGTGAACAGGGTACAACCAGACTGAGTGAATAGGATTAAAAAATTCTGTATATTACCGTTGAGTAATCTTGATTCTCATACAGACTCCGGAGTGTATTTCCCGAGCAGGTAGTATTTTTCTCTACTCTGTGCAGTTAGTGTGCTAGGAGTTTAGCCCCTAGACTCTAATTGCCTGACTTAGCAACTTTATTTCCACTATTCACAAGCTGGGTGTTCTTGGGCAAACCACTGTGCCCTTAATAAATGCAAATTAGGTTTATAATTCCTTTGCAGAGTGATTGTGCAAAATTTAATGTAAAATACTAAATACACAGGACCAAGGAGTAGTGCAGGGGTTAAGGTACTTGCCTCCCACGTAATCAACCCTGATTCAGTACCAGCATCATTTATGGTCCTCTGAGCACCACCAGGAGTAATCCCTGAGCACAGAGGCAAAAGGGAGCCCTGAGAACTACCAGGTGTGGCCCCCTCTAAAACAATATCAAATACTAGGTATAATATAGACCACATTTCAATAAATGCTAACAAATGTGATCATTGTTGCTATTGCTACTTGTCCTGCCTCCAGCTGGGCAGTGTGGTTATTGAACTAACTGCTTAGAAGGTTCTAGATAGTGACCACACACACAGGCATGAACTCAATCTACTTCTTAAGGGCTGGAGAAGACTCCAGATCTTCAGAGGGTACCCAAGGGTTGCCAGGGGCCACCTGGACTTCAGTTGCCCAAGGGCTTCCTGAAGCCCCAGCAGGATATCTCTGTCTTGTTTCATTTAGATCAGCTGCTCAACTGTGCACATATGGGGACCAGATCATTTTTCTGTGGGAATTTGTACCACGTTGATCCATATTTGCAGCTCTGAATTCTTCCCCGTCCCCATCCCCAATTGCACCTCTCTGCCCAGGTGTGAGTGTCAAAATTATCTCTAGACATGGTCAGATGACCCCTAGCAGCAAAATGAGCTCAGGCTAAGAACCACCTTTTAAACCCTCTCCTCACGGCTGGTGCTCAGGATTTGCTTGTTGAACTTCTGCAGATCTCTCTCCCTTCCTGCCCATATCTGTCAATGAACATTTGTGTCCTCTACATCCAGGTGCTGGACTATGCACGGAGGAGCTGTGTGAGAGGAGGAAGGGGAAGAGAATGTGGGTCTGGAGGGGATATCCTGTTGGGGATCCCAAAGGTGTTTGTCTAGAACATGAAGTTAGACCACACAGGCAGCAGTCTGCTGGTGCAGCAGGTTCACAAAGCCACTGGGGCCTTCCCAGTAAATATTCTACCTACATGATCTGTACATGGTCCAGCTCCCTCTCCATCTTGTCAATGAATACCCACAAGGCTGGCATTTTTTTTGGTGTGTGTAAAGGGAAATAGTTTTATTTAGGAATCATGAGAAAGAAGAAAGAAGAGGGACTTTCACAAAGAAGAGGGAAGAACTTAAACATCCCAAGTTAGAATTTGCATGACTCCAGGATGGGGACCTACTCATAAAGCCAATTTTATTTTCTGTTTTTGAGTGAGGGAGTTTTAAGAGCCTGAGGTGACTTTCCTCCTCCTTCCCCCAGACAAGCACACACACACACACACACACACACACACACACACACACACCCCACAACCATTCTGATTCTCCTTGGAGCACAATACATATCTGTTTGATCAATGTTTGAACTTGTAAACTAAATAAAAATCAATTTTTTACTCTGTGTTTGGGGTCACTCTGGATCATACCAGCCCATGTCCCCTTTAAGCCCTTTCAGTTATTTCTGTATCTCTGCAAATAAATTCTCTTTCTCTTTTTTTTTTTTTGGGGGGGGGTGTTTGTTACACCTGGCAGTTGTCAGGGCTCACATGTGGTGGTGCTGGCGTGGAGGACTAGGAAGAGTGCACCATA